CCGCTTGCCGCACCAAGCATACAGGAAATTCTTCACGTCCCCCATGGCAAAACTGGGTGGAGTAGTGCAGCCCCTACTGCGGGAGGTTGAAAAACATACTTAAAGCACTAGGACATAGACTAACTTTCTTTCTCCAGAGCAGCCTTCTCCAATTGGCCCTCCAGTATTCTTGAACTATAGTTCCCAGGAGCCCCAGGCAGCAAGACTAGAGGCTAGATGTCCCCCATTAGATATAATGACATTTTCCTTTTATTAGGAGGACACAAATAGAAGCCACTAACACAAAACAAGAGGGAACTCAGGACTCAGAATATTTTTGCTCAATGTGGGACCCATGACCCTGAGGTTAAGAGTCTCATGCTCTACCGACAGAACTATCTCACATTTAGCACAGCCTCCCCCAATGTGGTACCCTCCAGATATTTTGGACTGTGGCTTCTTTATCAGCCCCAGTCAGCACAGTCCACACTATTTCAAGTTCAGCTACACGAGAGAAAAGACAACTTGTCTCCATAGTTGTTATCCCACTCTAAATTCTATGTTTCTATCCTTGTATTGTTGACGGCAATATTTAGGTATTTACTATTATTATAATATATTTATTTATTTGTAATCCGGTTATGTCCCTGACAGGGAGTCAAGGCGGCTTACAGATGAAACAGGAAAATCTGAGGCTGCAACGCAGGCCGCTCTAGCTTTATTAAAATATAAAGGTGGTGCAGAAATGTAATGAATAAATAAAATAAAAATAAATTGCCGCCGTCCCGCTTCCAACTCTATAATTCTATGAATCGAGACCAAGCACTGGATCGGAGGTGGAGGCGATCGCCGTTGCATTCCTAGTGCGCTTGCGTGGTTTCCCCCCTAAACAGCCCAAACTAAACCCGGAATTCAGGGCTCGTTTCACGACTCTGCCCTTCTCGACTCTATGCAGGAAACCGGACGCCAACAGAGCAGGGAACACCAATGCGCACGCGCGCCTGGCTCCCGCCCACCAAACCAAGCAGCTCTACTGCGCATGCGGCTTCCCACTCCATTTTCCCCCGACGCCTCGTCGCGCCTGCGCACTCCCCTCCCTCCCCAGCCCGTTTTTCTCTCCACGGCGCCCCTGCCCTCATACCCACACATGCCAATTATTATTTAAAAAAATGAAATCCTGCTAAATGTAACCTTGTCCTGCGCCGGGTACCTCTGCCTCAGCCCCTGGCCAGCATAGGAGCTCCCTCTGCCCGTCAAGCGGCTCTCGCTTCGCCAGGTCCTCCGCCGCTCGCCACAAAGAGGCCAAGATGGCGGCGCCTCTGCGCCTGCGCAGTTAGGGGAGGTGACGGCCAGCAGCCGAGCCACGGAGAGAGCGAGCGCCCCAAGCGGATGGAAGCGGCACTTCAGCCTAGAGCAAAAGCGCGGAGCCGCTGGGAGACTGGGCGGCGCGCAAGGATGTTTTCATTTCATTTGCATGTTCGTTTCATTTCATTTGCATGTGCATCCTTTGTTTGGTCAAGGACTAACCGAGGGCAGAGAAAGCCAATTCGCTTTGTTTCGTTTTCACTTTTAGTTGGCACTAACGAAGGTGATAGGGGACGCGGGTGGCGCTGTGGGTTAAAGCCTCAGCGCCTAGGGCTTGCCGATCGAAAGGTTGGCGGTTCAAATCCCCGCGGCGGGGTGCGCTCCCGTTGTTCGGTCCCAGCGCCTGCCAACCTAGCAGTTCAAAGCACCTTTGGGTGCAAGTAGATAAATAGGGACCGCTTACCAGCGGGAAGGTAAACGGCGTATCCGTGTGTCTCCGGACAGCGCTGGCCCCCGGCCTATAGAGTGAGATGAGCGCACAACCCTAGAGTCTGTCAAGACTGGCCCGTACGGGCAGGGGTACCTTCACCTTTACCTTAACGAAGGTGATCTCACTGTTTCTGTTTCAAGCACTCACTCAGGGTTTGTTCCTTTTGGAAAATGAGGCACAGTGGAGACTGTGGTGTTTTTATGATCTATGGTTTATTTATTACATACAACTTGAGCCTGCAATGGAGGGGTTCACAGCATCAACACCCCCAGTGGCAGAGCTTCATGCTCCGGCACCGGCGGTGGGGGTGGCGGAGGCGGAGAGCAGGCGAGGGCAGGGCTGGCACGCATCTTGGGGGCATGGCCTGTAGGGCTGTGGCACCCAGCGTGGGCGGGGGGACAGCTGCAAAGGTGTGGTGTAGTGGTTAAGAGCGGTAGTCTCATAATCTGGGGAACCGGGTTTGCGTCTCCGCTCCTCCACATGCAGCTGCTGGGTGACCTTGGGCCAGTCACACTTCTCTGAAATCTCTCAGCCCCACTCACCTCACAGAGTGTTTGTTGTGGGGGAGGAAGGGAAAGGAGAATGTTAGCCGCTTTGAGACTCCTTAAAGAGAGTGAAAGGCGGGATATCAAATCCAAACTCCTCTTCTTCTTCTTCATCCCACCAGGATCACGCTGATGGGGGCGGTGCGCTCCCCCCACACCCCCTTCCTCCGCCAGTGAACACCCCAAGGGGGTCTTGTTTCAACTGTTAACGGAGAAATCCGAGGGCTCCCTTGGACAAGAAAACAAGGAGACCAGCCGGGAATACCAGAGCAAAACAGCAGCCAGTAGGCTTGGTCTTTATTGAAGACTGTTGCGACAGGACTCCCACCTGCCACCAGGTGAAACAAAATGGAAGCCCAGAACAAAAGAAGACCCCAACTTTTATTAGTTACTAATCCCCCAAACTACACCCCTAGAACTACATCATGACTACATCACTGACACTTCACAAAAAGGAGGGGTTGAGGGAGGAGTTGTGGAGGTAACCTGAGTATCTTGTCACCTGGCTGGTTCCTCTCCCCCTCCCCATGAGTCATTTCCAGAGGACAAAGGGGAGCTGGCAGTTTCCTGCCCCCAGAGGGAAGATCTGATCATTGCCCTTTGTTCCAGTCCATGTTGAATCCACTCCCACATGCAAGTCCTTTGTGACCTTGATGGTCTTCTGTCTGGGACCATCAAGGTTGTCATGCCAACTGGGTAGTGCTCCTGTGTATGTGTTGGTATGGTTAAGGGATTATGGCCGTCCTGTATCAAACCACCCCCTGTGATAGTCCTTCCTTCATGGAGTAAAATAAAAGTGGACCGGTGTAAATCCGATGTCTGGTTGATTTACTATGAATTTTTAACAGAAACGTCGCGTATGTCCTGTGTGAGTGTATGTGTGTCATGTTTGTACAAACTGAATGATTTGGGGGGGGGGTGTTTCCTGCAACATTCCCATAGCCATAGCCTGGATTTATACAACCACTCTAACCCTCTCTCCAGCTCACTGCCTTTACCAGCCTGCAACCTTTCCCTCCTCCAGGTCACATCAAAGCCAACTCTAAAACACTAACAATGGCTTTTGTTGGAGGAGGAGACCCACCCATTTGGCATCTGGCATTTTTCGCTTTCTTAACAGCCCATCACCTTTCCCTTTGTTCTCTCCCAGGCATATACTCCCTACGAGTATAGGGAGTGGTGGAAGCTTCAACCCCCTCAATATTTTGGAGCAAGGGGCTCAGCACCCCCAATACTGAGGGGGCTGCCCCCTGTCACCGCAGGGCCCCATCCCACCGCCCTGCTGCCAGGTGAGTGCTAGGCAACCAAGTGGGACACTCAAGGGTCAACATCACACTCCGTGCGCTCAGTCCCTTGTGTGCCACATCCACTCTCCACCCTCCGCCAGGCTTGACTCGGGGATGAAACTGCCACAGCCAGCAGCCTCTCTCTGCTGCGGTGGAGCTGCACGCGGTGCATCCCAGTTGAGGAGAGGGGTGGCGGCTCTCTGCCACCAACTCTCCACTCCGAGGAAGCTGCCTCGGCTGGAGCCAGGCTCCAATGGGAGCTGGGAGGGGGTTGCCCCCAGTGGATGGCAAGTTGAGTGGGTCTGGTGGGGTTGGGGGGGGCGTCATGCGTGTAATGTCATGCACATGTGGCGCACCCCACCCCAATGTTGGGTGCAACTCAGGACACCTGCTCATGAGGCAGCTAGCCTGGCTTATATTTAAACCGATACAGGAACCAGGGGTTTGGGAGGCTTGATTAAATTCTAACACTTACCGAGTTCAGGAATTTAGGGGAGTCTGGCACTCCTGAGCCCTTAACAACATGCTTGCATGGCAAAATCAGTCAGGGTAAGCTGTGTCAACCTGCTGAAGTAAAAACAAGACACAAATCCATTTTTTAAAAAAATCTGCATTTTTCAGGAAGGGAAGAGGCTCAAACAATGGTTTCCCTAACACCCTTCTCTCAACCAGTGTCCCAAATTGTGGTACAGTATTGTCTATTTTAGGCTTAACAAGAAATGTGAAAGCCTAGCATCACCTATGCATCCAGTAAAGTGCCATGATAATTTTGCCAGCTCTTAAGGTGCCGCAGGACTTGGAAGATATTTCTTACTCCACATTTGTTGCAACTTGTTGGACAGAAACACACAGCTGAAGGATTTTCTTAAACTGCATTTCTCACCTAATGAAGGGCAGGTGGCCAGGGGGAGGCAGACAAGATTGGGAAGGCCAGACTTGCTATCTGGGAATAATTTACTGCAAGACAGGCTCAGAGGAGAGGCTGACAGGGCAGTGCTGGCCACCTACACCTTCATCACCAATGAACTATAGCAGGTCCCGGACAATCATAATTTCCTTTCATGGTCCTGTCCTTACTTACAAGTGGCCTAAAACAGCTGCTCATCACCAACAGGCCACACAAATTTATTGTGGCACTTTACTTTCTGTTACAATTTGTGTCGAGCAGCAGTTTCTGAACTATAATTAATGGAGACCAACTAAGTTTGTTATTACCAATAACTAACTTAGTTGGTCTCTAAGGTGCTACTGGAAGGAATTTTTAAATTTTGTTTTGACTACGGCAGACCAACACAGCTACCTACCTCTAACTATAATTAATGGAGTTCTTTGAAAACCTGTTTAGAGTCATTTCTCAATTAGAAGACTTGTAAGCATTCTACCATGAAAGAAACCTTTTGCCCACAAAAAAGACTTTATTTTTGCAGTTTTGAAAGTAAATTTAACAAAGAAATCTCTTTCCTTCTCCAACAGACATTCCATGCATGTTAATACGTTCCAGTTAGGTAACAGGTAAGTTTATAAAATACTTCACACTGTTCATTTTAATCTCTCCAGATCAAGTGTCTCTTGTACATCTTCTTAAAATGGAACAACATTCAGTAAGAACCGTATGTGTGCTACAGAATGTTCCCCAGAATTCTTTGCCAGGGGCACAGGTTACTTGTCAGAAAAGTCCCGGGTATCTGACCTTGAGACCATAACTGGTATGGAGAATCTGCTGCAGCCATGGGGGTACACAGAAGAGCTTCCTACTAACCGTGGAGTGGACAGTCACTGCCAATCATCCCTGATGTGAGTTGTAAAACAACCTGATGGGTGGACAGGCTTCCTGGCCTCATCTCCAGCCGTAGACCTGTTTCCTAGAAAGCACTGATTTTGAAGCAAGAGGCTTGAGTCCCACTATTGGATCTTCTCATGAGGAATCACCTCTAGGTGCTTACTGAAGATTGGACCTCCTGGCAGGATAGCTTTAGCTCAGTGTTTCCCAAACTTGGGTCTCCAGCTGTTTTCAGACTACAATTCCCATCATCCCTGACTACTGGCCAAGCTAGCTGAAGCTAATGGCAGTTGGAGTCCAACAATGTCAGCAACTCTGCAGGAAAATAGAAAAACAACTTGCAAAAGTTTAGGAACTTCTTGAAATAATGTCGACATTGGAGTTTCCAGAGTCTGGGTTCTGTAAACACAATTCAGGTTTACAAGGTACTAAATCCAGTTATATCACTGTTTGTATTTTGGTTAGGGATATGAAAGTGGCAAGAAAAGCATAAAGGAGTTTGGCAGTCTAAGCTGTGTCTTGATTCCCCAGTAGTGCAAAAGAATGATAGACGTTCTGTCAACAGCATCTTCCTATTTTCAAAATAAGCTATTTTCTTTTTATTGGAGAGGCATCCTTGCCAAGCAGCAAAGCAGCTACTGTTTTCCATCCAGGCAAGGTATGTAGAGGGCACCAATGCATAGTCCCTGTTAGGAGTCTTTGAGTAATTTCCTCACGGAAGCTGAGCAGTCAGGATGCATCTCAAGTATGGAAGTGAGACCTGTTCACCAAGTTGCATGGCCCATGTTCCTATGCCCACATTGGATACTTAAAGTCAGCTGTAGCAACAGTTCTTCAGGCTCTCCAATTTGGGTTTTACACTGGCAATGAACTCCTCAGAGGCACTTGAGAGTGGAAGTCGTGGGGGACCCATGGGTATCCCTGAAAGCAGAGTCACGATTGCTTTGGTCTCTGCAACGCCAAAGCCTAGCCAAAAGAAAAAAGGACACAAATCATTCCACAATGACAAAGTTTCTGCCCCACTCTATAGTCGATGATGGAGGTCACAGCCACACCATACATTTAAAGCACCCATACCAATACAAAAGTCATGGACAATCTTAGGAACTATAGCTTGTTAAGGGTGCTGGGAATTGTAGCTATGTGACACTAGTACCCTTAAATGACAGTTCCCAAGATTTTGAGGGAAAGCCACAACTGTTACAAGAGTGCTTTACAATGTATAGTGGGGATGTGACTAAAATAATTTCTTTTCATAAAAGAGCAGGGGGAGAGAAACCCTATGATTTACTGCCTCTCAGGAAGTCTGGCCCTTGCCCCCAACCTTTTAGCCAACTGACTAGTCCCCAACCTTTAATTATTGAATGTTTTTGACAGAAAAGTTAAAACATAATATTGTAATCAGATTTATTGGGTTTTCCAGTGTTCTAAGCTTTTAGTTTGTTGTAATTTTTACTATAAGGGACGTGGGTGGCGCTGTGGGTTAAACCACAGAGCCTAGGACTTGCCGATCAGAAGGTTGGCGGTTTGAATCCCCGTGATGGGGTGAGCTCCCGTTGCTCGGCCCCAGCTCCTGCCAACCTAGCAGTTCAAAAGCATGTCAAAGTGCAAGTAGATAAATAGGTACCGCTCTGGTGGGAAGGTAAACGCCGTTTCTGTGTGCTGCTCTGGTTTGCCAGAAGCGGCTTAGTCATGCTGGCCACAAGGGTCATCGAGTGCAATCCCCTGCAATACAGGAATCTTTTGCCCAATGTGATGTCTTCATATTGCAGCTGGGGCAGCAGAAGGCTTGACAGACTGGCCTGCCAGTAAGCTCAATGCAGAGGTGAGAGTCCACGTGGGAACTTACTGATTCAACATGACAATGTCATATGAGCTCTCAAAATTCTAGGGCTGACTATACCACACGTGACATGCATTTACTGCCTGACATGGAGCATTACTGTTGCTAAACATTTGGGGAATCTGGCTAAATTCTATGGCAGCGAACAAGATAATATTACAAATAGATACACAGTGGAATATATACAGATGAAATCTGAGGCATAGTTCAAATGTACAAGCTGCTAGATGGTTAGCATAGAGTACATGCACTTTAGTGTAAGCACTTGAGTACAAATAATTTGTTACTATAATCTTACAGTAATATTATATATTTTTAACGAAATGCATTTGGGAAAAAAATCGAGGTCTGAAAATCAAAGCAGTAGGAGAAAACCCATGGGTGTAGCCAAGGAGGGGCAGGGGAAGCTCTCCCCCCAAATCAATAAAAACCAATACAAATCTGAGGTTCTGCCCCCCCCCCAACAAAAATCCTGGCCACACCCATGAGAAAAGCTGCATTTGAAGAAAGTGCAAGGGGCAATTTGCAAAGGAAAAATGGAAAGAGAGTGTGTTAAATGGAGTCTTTCAGAACATATCTGCGTTTCTTGGACAATAAAAGCTTTTTTTAAAAAAGGAAATTCAGAAGCATTCAAGCCACGCTGGATAAACCATGTCTGATGGGCAGAAAAGGATCCAGTCTACTGTGGTACCTACCCTGTGCCATGAAAAAGCTGATTACTTCCTGGGTACTGCACTAAGAGACAGAAAATAAGTTTATTAATTTTATTATAGGTAATAAAAAAAAGTGTAGGGCAACTGGAGGTGGTATACATAGTGTTAAACTGGAGGTGGTATACATAGTGTTATCGGGTAATTGGGGGAGAGGGAACAATGAAGGATTGGGAAGGGAAGGGCACACAGGATCTGAGGGGGGTGCAATGAAAGTGTTCATTTAAATTTTTGGCAGAGTGCCAGCTAGGTCATATGGTCCCACGCCAACTGTTTGCAAATACAGGACAGGTGCTCCTCATTCAGCAAGTGATACGTGTCAAGAAACCTGTTCCCATTTGCCCATTGTCCCAAGCTGGGTGAAGGGGAATGGGGAGATGCACACGACTTTTAGAGTGTGTTATCTACCGTACAACTTATGGGGGGGGGCCTTTATACTCCGGGGATACAGCATAATGCCAAAATCGTGTATAGTCAAAACACAATGGGTTAAATGGTGGGTGGGGTTACCATCCCCCCCCTTAATTTTTTTTTGGCTAAGTGTGTAAAGCTGAATAGAGTTGTTGTTGTTGTTGGCATTCATCTGTCTCGAGATACAATGGAGTACACCTCCAGGGGTGAAGTCAAATGGCTGCGTTAGCAGCACCAAGGTGACCTCTCTGGGGTGCAAGCCTGGGCAGTGCCTATGGAGGTCCTGGGCTGCCAGTTACCCGTATACAAAAGGAAGGAGGAATCTGTTATCATACTATGATCCACTGTCATCAGCTTCAGTTAGAAATACCATACCTGATATTTTTGTGCCAAGGAGAGGTCTCCATTGGCAAAAGCTTCCAGCATTGAGTTATTTGCCTTGCCCAGATAGTTATAGGTGCTGTACAAAAACAAAAGCCAACAGAGCAAAGGCAGAATTAGTATTAATATGTGCCTCCGTAACTAGAATAGCAAATCTGAAGGTATCCTTCCAGTGCAAAACTGGGAGTTGCTCCTGCACAGAGTAGCATGTCACGTGTAAAGGTAAAGGGAGCCCTGACCATTAGGTCAATGTCATGTGTAATAAGCTATTAAAAGGGAAAGTGTGGGAGGGGAGATGCTCCTGCACAGAGTGTGCCCTCTATGGTTACCATTCTAAATGGGGCAAGGAACTTTTTCAGACTCAGAGCCTCTAGACAAGTTTCCAGGGGCCACAAGACAGTGGTGTCCAGGGCCAAAGGCAAGAATGGGTGGAGCAAGAAATGCAACATTTGCGCAAGAGGCTACTTTCTTCCTATCCTTCTCCATCCAGGGAAGGAAGAGACGTGAACAGAGTTCAAGGACACCCTCCCTGCCAGGCCAAAACACTCAAGCAGGGTGCAAAACATAATTGGGTGAGAGTAATCAACCAACGCGTTAGCATGCTGAATATGAATGGGCCCTTAGCCACAATACTATTTACTCTAATAGGGTCAGCAGGAGAGGGCAGAAGGTGCAGATAATAAGGATTTGCAGGCGAAAAGCTAGACAGATGTTTCCCAAAGTGGGCAGCACCGCTCCCTGGGGGGCACTGGAATGATCTGGCGGGGGACAGTAGTAGCCTCAGGTGCAACTGGGGGCACTGAATAAAAATAAGGGGGCGGTGGAAGAGAATAAAAATTTGAAAAACCATTTGTACATGTTTCATCTATTGTGTAATGACGCTTACCGCCAGGCCGGGCGCCGTTGCAGGATGGCAGCAATACCTCCCCAGGTGGCAGTCATCCTGGAGGTGGTGCATTTTCCCAGGCTTGGGTGAACCTTTTTGGGTTAACCTGATAGCAGCTTGCCTCCCTATTTGGCCAATGGCAGGCAGGCTGCTGCACCAGCCCCGCCCCTGAGGTCGACTGGACTGCGCCACTCCCTTTAATCCCAGGGACTAGTCCACCTCCTTGTCCAGTTTTGAAAAGCCACATGTTTCATCTGTTGTGCAATGAATAAGGTGTCTTATTTACAACATCTTTCTTTACTATGTTGTAGGACATATGTAGAAATATAGATACATAAAAGAATGCAAATTTGTCACAGAATCTTTCTGTTTGTTCATTTCCTGGGGGGGGGGCACTGAGGTTTTTTTCTGAAAAGGAAGCAGTAGGCCAAATAAGTTTGAGAAGCTCTGAGCTATACCAATAAAAAGAAGAAAACTGTTTCAGACATGAAAGTTTTCTTACTCATCACTCAGCTGTATAAACAAAAGCTGGTGCAGGGCTAAAAGCAGCCAGAAAAATGAACGGCAAAATGATCCTCTTTGCTTCAAAAGACGCGGCATTGGAACTCATACTTTCTCATCCATGTAAAGATGACTGAGGCTGTTAGCCTAACCCTCCTTACCTGGGAGTAAGTCCTACTGAATTCAATAGGATTTACTTCTGAGTAGACATAGTTAGGTTTGTGCTGTGAAAGAGAGACTGACCTTCCAACTGCCCCAGTCGCTCCCATAGCGAGTGCAGCCAGGAGTTGCTGGTTACGGAAAGACAAAAAACACAACTTTTATTTCCTTGAGAAAACAGTAGAACAACTTGCTGCTGGGAAGACAGTATTCAAAAAGTGATAAAGGTAAAGGGACCCCTGACCATTAGGTCCAGTCGTGACCGACTCTGGGGTTGCGTTGCTCATCTCGCTTTATTGGCCGAGGGAGCTGGCGTACAGCTTCCGGGTCATGTGGCCAGCAGGACTAAGCCGCTTCTGGCAAAGCAGAGCAGCACACGGAAACGCCGTTTACCTTCCTGCCGGAGCGGTACCTATTTATCTACTTGTACTTTGATGTGCTTTCAAACTGCTAGGTTGGCAGGAGCAGGGACCAAGCAACGGGAGCTCACCCCGTCATGGGGATTCGAACTGCCAACCTTCTGATCGCCAAGTGCTAGGCTCTGTGGTTTAACCCACAGCACCACCCGCGTCCCGCAAAAAGTGATAATGGCCCCTAAAAAACCAGAGGCATTCCTGCTGGGGATGACCGGAGTGGAAATATTAAAAGCTGACCAGAAATTGTTCATGTTTGCCACTACAGCAGCTAGAACTTTATTAGTCTAAAAGTGGAAACAGAAAGAATACCGACAATAGAGGAATGGCAGATGAAGATGATGGACTATGCAGAATTGGCAAAGCTGACGGGGAAAATCCAAAACCAGAGTGACCAAGTGTTCCAGGGAGAATGGAGTAAATTTATTGAATATAGGCAATCATTGTAAACATATAAAGACACTAGCAGGATTGCGGTAAAGTTCACAATGTTTAAAAGAAGAAACTTTCTACTTGTGTTTTAAGTTCTAAATAATTTAAGTTACATGTAGAAGTTAGACGGTACAAATGTGTGGTTCTAAGATGTGTTTGATAAAAACCAGATGACGGAGCGGAGGGAAGTCAAAAGCTCAGTAGAGCTAAAAATATGTAAAAGGTGATACGATGTTATAATATTGTTTTAAAAAATGGAAAATTAATTTTAAAAATTACATAAGAAACAAAAACAAGTGATCATGGCAGCTCTTTGGTAGGCAGAAGCTATCCCCAGTAGCACAAAAAGCACTACTTGGTTACATCGCTTTAGGAAGCCATCGTGCCATTCTAGTACACCAGAGTTATTAATATAGAAATGCCTTACCTCATCCACACCATACAGAAGTACAAACTGGCCTCTGTCATTTTTCTTCACACACTGCCCAAAATCCAGGAGGTCTTTATCACTGAACTTCACCCCCTTAAAGGTGGGAATCTGCTCTATCATCCCATTTAGCAGTTCGTAGGCAGTAACTGAACAGAGAGGGAGAGCGAAAGAGAGGAACACCAACAGGTTTCCAAGTCTTACTGGGCAAAGCACATGACCACATCTGGCAAGAAAACATCACAATAGAGGCTGCAAATCTATCCCAAAATACGCTACAAAGAATGTGTTCTTGTGAAAAGGTATAAATCTGGGAAGAATGCCCCCCAAAAGTTCCCTCTTCCTTATCTGTGGAAGGCAACAGAAATGGAATTCCTTGATCAGAATACACTATAATCTTACACCAGATTTTGCAGACGTCCTCTTGCCTCAGAGCAGGAACTCTGGGAATTGTGGGCCAAGAGGGAATCATAGAATCATAGAGTTGGAAGAGACCACAAGGGCCATCGAGTCCAACCCCCTGCCAAGCAGGAAACACCATCAGAGCACTCCTGACATATGGTTGTCAAGCCTCTGCTTAAAGACCTCCAAAGAAGGAGACTCCACCACACTCCTTGGCAGCAAATTCCACTGTTGAACAGCTCTTACTGTCAGGAAGTTCTTCCTAATGTTTAGGTGGAATCTTCTTTCTTGTAGTTTGGATCCATTGCTCCGTGTCCGCTTCTCTGGAGCAGCAGAAAACAAGCTTTCTCCCTCCTCTATGTGACATCCTTTTATATATTTGAACATGGCTATCATATCACCCCTTAACCTCCTCTTCTCCAGGCTAAACATGCCCAGCTCCCTTAGCCGTTCCTCATAAGGCATCGTTTCCAGGCCTTTGACCATTTTGGTTGCCCTCCTCTGGACATGTTCCAGTTTCTCAGTGTCCTTCTTGAACTGTGGTGCCCAGAACTGGACACAGTACTCCAGGTGAGGTCTGACCAGAGCAGAATACAGTGGCACTATTACTTCCCTTGATCTAGATGCTATACTCCTATTGATGAGGCCCAGAATTGCATTGGCTTTTTTAGCTGCCGCGTCACACTGTTGGCTCATGTCAAGGGAGGTAAAGCAATGTTTAACAGACTATTATTGGAACTCTCACAAAGCTACCATTTCCCTAGCTTTTTGAGGGGAAACCTTGGCCATTACAGTGGCTCAAAATTTATATACTTTATAATGAATAGAAACAAGGATAATGCCCATAATACATGTCACATGTATGAACCATGGGGCTTAGTCCTGCTCCACACCATACATTCAAAGCGCATCCCCTGTGCATTTAAAGCACATGACTTCCCTAAGGAACCATGGGAACTGTGGTTTCTCCTCCAAGAGTTACAGTTCCCAGCATCCTTAACAAACAACAGTTCCCAGCACTATGTGAGGGAAGTCATGTGCTTTAAATGTGTCTTGGGCGCACTTCCGGTTTCTGCAGATGGTGGAAAGGAGCGTGAGTCCGATCGTCTGACGGACTCGAACCCCGTGGAGAAACGGGGAAGCGCCAAGGTGAGGCACCCCTCCCCAAAAAAGCCCTGAGAGGGTCTCAGGGTGTTGAGAGGTCCAGCAGCCATCAAAAAGGGCTCTCCTGCAACCCCCAAACTCCTTTTGTGCTGGAAAGTATGGGGAGGGGGGAAGGAAGCGGCAGTCGAGCCTGCGGTCATGGCAGTATCACAACTTGAGCGAAGCCTCAGCTCAAGCCTGAAGCAGAGATCTTCCAAAAATTACTACCAGGCCGATGGAAAGGTAAAGATTTACTTTCGGAATTAATTAATTCCTAATTAATTAATTAGGCGGAATTTGGCGTCAAAAGTCCATTCCCGTCTTATTAGTAACTATCACTGCATGGAAACAATTTGCAAGTGAAAAGGTTACTAAATCTTTCTTTATAATACTTATGGATACTGTCTGCTGATGGGAAAGTTGGAGAGTGCTAAAGTTAGGAAAAATCATGGGAAATGTTTATTGTTCGATTGCAGGGTACTGCAAGTAGGTTCAAACATCAATAGGCCTTGACTAAACACTTGCAATCAGTAGAAATTTGGATAAATTAAGAGAAATAATAATCGGTTAAGCATGAAATGTGGAAATGCAGAATAATTTTGTCTATATAAAGAACCAAGAAGAGGGAATGGAGGGAAGTCATGAGGTTTAAAGAACCTCAAAGACAAGGTTTTGAAAAAGGTATTTGTGAATTTGGGGGTGGGGGGGGAGTACTATTGTGATTAAATGTGGAATTCAATTGTGAAAATCAATAAAAATTTATTTACAATAAATGTGTCTTGGGTGTGCTCTAAATGATTTGTACGGATCTGCCCCTAATCAATCACCAGTACACATCAACGTTCTAGTGAGTTTAGCAATATTATTTCCAAAGATGGAATTAGCTTCTACTATGCTCCTTAGACCATGTCTCTACTAGTACAATACTTGACCACCACTACATTCTGAAGCACAATCCTATGCATTTGACATTTGCCTAAATTAGTTTAAACACCAAACATACACAGAAAGAGCTGCTGAGTCCAACTTTTCCCTGAGATGTAATTAGGATGGTCTAGATGAGTAACACTTACTTTTTATACCAGTCAGGGGAGGGATGTGGTAATAATAGAATGGGATTCCTGGGGCTTCAGATGCAACATCCCGCAGGAAGGCAACTAGAGCATCTAAATAAGAGAAGACAAGGAAAGCAATTGAAAACCTGGGTAATTTTGAAGAGCACACCTCATGTGCAATGTAGGCCTATGTGACATGCAAGCAGCAACCCCAAACTGCCTGCACAACTATCCCCCCACCATCCAACACACAGAGAGTTTAAAATCCACTCTTGAAGGGGTGCTGTAGTCGCTAATTCATCTGGGTCTTCATCTTCCCAGCTCGGTTGCCAATTGTAAATACGTGGCTGGAGGTGGAGAGACCAAAAAGGAGAGGAGGATTGTTCCAGGCTTTCATCTGGGATTCCCAAACCACCAGATCTAATCTGATTCATGTCAGTGAGGATAAATGATGGTAGCATCTCAAATTAGCACAGAATATGTATGTAGGAAGATGCAAGAACAAAAAGACTGCAGACCCGTATCTTCATTATTTGTGAATTGTGAGATGCAAGTCCAGGCTCTATAAAAGTAGAAAACTTCCCAGGAGATTAACTAAGTATGTTCAAAGCTTAGATGCCTCCATTTGCATGGTACGCAGAGGTGGACCTACAGCCATTACTTTTATCTTCCTCTATATTCATGGATGGGCATACTCTGCACTAAAACACACACACACACACACACTCCCCCAAAACATTCTGGCTAAGGTAACCTGAAATCTGTACAAAGAAAAATGGGCTTTTGCAGCAGCCTATATAAATTATGCAAATTTGTATAATTTATCATGCTCATCTTGCATAATTTAGTCTGTCTCTGTCAGTCAAGAGGAGAGGCAATGAGCTATGGAAGTCACTGGAGCCTCACCTCCTGGTCACTGGAATTCTTATTCAGCCACCACTCTGGCTTCGGAGATTTTACAAGGTCCAGTACCTGATCATTTTAATTTGTGTCTTCCAAGCCACAAGGACTGCAAAGTTGGTTTCTTTCCTTTTCAAATGGAAGCAGAGATCCACAGGAAGGTGAATTTGCCCCCAATGCCACATTTTGTGGCTTTTCTACACTCCCACAGAATACAATGAGGGAATGTAAATTGAAAAGTAAGGGCCAAGGCATTGATTATGCAGTAGTTAACAGAAACAGCTCACATCCTCTGGCTTTACCGCTGCACATCCCAACAACATTGTTCTTCACAGTACTGAAGACCTGCCTAGGATGTGGATGGAAAGAGGGGAAATAATACAGTGGGACCTGCCTCCTCACCTTTCTTCACCTGTTTGAAGAAAGAGGGGGCGATGACAGCTATGCCATCCGCTCCTATTTCTGCTGCATGCTTAGCCTGAAAAGGAAGGAAAGAAATCCACAGAGATTGGCACCATCACGGAAGTGCTAGAAAAGGAACAGATCACTTCTCTATTCCTCAATTACATGAGAATTCCCCAGCTAGAGTTAGATATACAAATATAACTGGATCTCCTGATGGTATTGTTTCTATAGCAATTCCTGGCTGTTTTGAGAAGGAGATGTTCTGATTGCAAAGCAATTCTGTAGGTGGGCTTTATGTGTCTTGATCATCTGCAGTGATCATATGCTAACCAATCAGCTACTCCAAGTATCTGCAATGCAAATAACACTTTTTTTTTTAATAGCCGGAACCCACTTAATTTGTTGCAACCATACACTCACCTTATTTTCTCCCTAAAGCTGCTTCCCTGAACCTGGCGCTCTGCAACTGATGTCAGACTCCAACTTCCATCATCTCAAGCCAGGTGGCCCATGGTCAGGGATGATGGGAGTTGTAGTCCAACAACATCTGGAGAGTACCAGGTGGGGAGAGGCTGCTTTAGAGCAGTGTTTCCCAACCTTGTGCCTCCAGCTGTTTTTTGAACTACAACTCCCATCATCCCTGACTAGCAAGACCAGTGGCAAGGGATGATGGGAGTTGTAGTCCAACAACATCTGGAGAGTACCAGGTGGGGAGAGGCTGCTTTAGAGGGACCAGAAGACCTGCTATCCTTTATAAGGAGGCGGAATTTCAGCAAGTGTAACTTCTCAACCCTGCACTGACAGGAAAGGAGCCAATGTGGCATAATGGTTAGAGTGCTGGACTAGGATGTGGGACACCAGGGTTCAAATCCCCACTCAGCCATGAAGCTCACTGCCATTGGGCAGCCTTAAGCCACTCATTCACACTCGGCCTAACCTCCCCCACAGGGCTGTTGTGATGACAAAATGTGCAGGAGGAGAATTATATATAGTATGCCACCTTGAGATCCTTGGAGGGAAGGCGGGATATAAATGCAATGAATAAATAAATGTAGGCAGGACTGTCTCCTTGCGCAGCCAAAGTTCATGGAGGATAAAAACAGGGGGGAAATACATTAAAAACACTCACTCACCAGTCCCCTTGCTTCTGGTAAACTGAGTGCGCCAACATGAATAATCACGTAATCCAGTCTGCAAAGAAGAAAAGAGGAAAGAGTGTCTGTGTGTGTGTGTATAGTCTTATTGCTAACAGTCTGCAATGCAAGCATTTCATAATATCTATTTAACTGCAGCCTCGTCAAGGACAAACTCATGTATTAAAACCAGATCCATGTATTTGTACATGTGCATGTATGTCTCTATATCAGGGTGGGGAAACACAGACCCAGAGGTTGCATAAGGTCTCAGCCGCGTTGTCTCCAGCTATTTTTGCCAGGGAGGGATGTGCCCCCGAGCCATGACAATGCTGCTTGCTTGCCTGAGTGGAGGACAGAGAGTGTGAGGGAAAGCAGCCTCTCAGCTTGAAGAGGTCCCCCTGATCTAATATCTTGGAATAGAAAATCTGCTTTGCTGAGAGGCAATTAAGAATTAACAGAAAAGCAGAACAGGACACTTGATTCCTTCCTCAGACATCTCGTCCAAACTGCTCCACACCTTTCCCTCTCCCTTGATAGTGTTTCACTTGCTTTCAAATGATCTGTTCTAAAGCAACTTGAAGAAGAAGAAGAGGAGGAGAGCATTGGGCCTTAATGTGCAGTTAGCCTCTCAGTGCACACACATCAGCATACAGACATGTGTTCATCACATGTGACAACGTGCAACACAGGGATATATGCCATTTAGTCCAGTGAAGAGGCATATTTATGCAGAAATGCAGGTATTTCAAAAAGCTGAACAGCAAAATGGAACACAGGGCAAAAGTAGAACGCTGTCAAAATCTGTAGGCCACGTTTCAAAAACTTGTATGGGAAAAGGAGCATATTGAGTCACGTTCCCCCCCCCCCTTCAGGAGTGCCCCAGAAACTCTTCTCTGAAGATTTGTGCCTTCACTTAGCAAGATTTAAAGCCAGCTTAATCAAAAATAAATATCTTAAGTGGTTTACATAAAGTACTATAAATATTCATAAGAGAACGCCAATTAAGAAAAAAGAATGTATGGTATTCAGTGGGAAAGCCAGGAGTCACAGGACCATGAAAAGAACTCTGCCGGGTCAGGCCCATGGCCCGTCCACGCGGTCAAGCGTCCTGCTCTCACTGCGGCCGGCCAGGTGCCCCACCTGAGCTCCACAGCGCTCTCCCCAGGGGACTCCCAGCCACTGGCATTCAGAGACACAAGGACTCTGGCCGCGGAGGTGGAACATCACCACCATACAAAGCATCACCATTGGCAGATGCTACCTATGCCAGCAAACTGTGGAATGGTAAAAATTATTATTTGGCCCACTCACAGCCGCTTTACAGGTCACATCCCTGTGCTCTTATAGAATCAGAGGATTACAGCTATTTAAAGTTTAAGCAGTAGTCAAGGTAGCAAATTAAAAAGAGAATGAAAGGGGGCTGCATCAAAGCCGTTTGAAATCGTTTTTAGCAACCTTTTTGAAGGGGATATTAATCTTTAAAAGCAGAAACCAATATATCCACAGACTGTTAGTATTACGAAGTTGAAATCTGCAAGTAGAAGGAAAAGGATTTTTAAAAGCTTTCATGCTCTGTGTGCTCTGCCCTCCAGTGATTTCTACATAATTCATACATAGAATCATAGAATCACAGAATTGTAGAATTGGAAGGGACCCCAAGGGTCATCTAGTCCAACCCCCTGCAATGGAGGAATCTCAACTAGGTGCACGGTCATGCAACCTTTGATTTAAAAACCTCCAAGGAAGGAGAGCCCACCACCTTCTGAGGAAATCTGTTCCACTGTCATAAAAGGTAAAGCTATTCTTTCATCTCTGAACCAGGATCATCGCAGCCCAAGCGTTCTGTCTTAAAGAAACAACACTCTCTCTTTCCCCATATCCCGCCTCTCCATCCTTATTTTCAGCCTGCAAGGAATGGTATAGACACAAACAAGACAGACAGCTCTCCTCCTACAAATATCCACTTTTATTTTCCTTGCTTTCTTTGAGCAATGAGAAGAAATAAAGAAATCTGCTGGAGATGAGAGACAGACATTAACATACTGCAGCTTGTTACTTTCAACAGTAGTCTTGGAAAACTGTTCCCCTCTCCCTGGCCTTTAAAGGGCAAAAAAGGAAGGAAACAGAACACAGATTTCACAATCAACTGTCTTTGCTTAGATAGCCAGTGATGTCCATGAAACACACCAATCTGCCCCCCCCCCCGAGTTACTCACTTATCTTTGCCCTTAGTCACCCACTCTTCGGCCAGCTGCTTCCTCTCCTGAACGCTCAGGGACAGGCCTTCTCCTGTGGTTCCATTTACTGTGACCAAAAAAGGAAAACATGGAAGTATTTGCACACATAGAAAGAAGAGATTTATTTTTTTTGCAGGGGGAATGATTACTTCAGCATGTTTGCAGGAAGCCTTGCTTCACAGCTCATAAGAATAATAATAAATTTTTATTTATACCCCGCCCTCCCCAGCCAAGACCGGGCTCAGGGCGGCTAACAACCAATAATAAAAACAAGTTGATTAAAATACAATTTAAAAGATTAAGATACAACATTAAAACATTAGGATGCAGCCTCTTCACAGGAGGAGAAAGGAAAAAGAAAGAGGGGGAGAGAATCAAATTGGCTCCAAGCCAAAGGCCAGGCGGAACCACTCTGTCTTACAGGCCCTGTGGAAAGAGATCAGATCCTGCAGGGCCCTGGTCTCATGAGGCAGAGCGTTCCACCAGCCGGGGCCAGTGTTGAAAAGGCCCTGGCTCTGGTTGAGGCTAATCTAACTTCCTTAGGGCCTGGGACCACTAGGGTGTTGCTATTTATGGACCTTGAGGCTCTCCATGGGGCATACCGGGAGAGGCGGTCCCGTAGGTACGAGGGTCCTAGGCCGTGAAGGGCTTTAAAGGTCAAAAGCAGCACCTTAAACCTGACCCTGTACTCCACCGGGAGCACTGGGTGAATATGCTCCCATGGCAGAGACCCCGTGAGGAGCCTCGTGGGGTGCATTGCAGGAACATAGCAAGCTGCCTTATCAGGGCCGGCCCACTCTTGAGGAAAGGTGAAGTGACTGCCTCAGGCGGGAGAATCCACAGGGGCAGCAGTTCTGGCCTCCAAGGAATGTATTAGTGGCGGCAGCGGCATCAGCACACCCCATGCCACCACTACAGCGGCCTCTTGGCCAATAGGAGGCACTGCTGATCTCCTCCCACCATCTATCTCAATGTAGATCTTTAGTTCCCCCTGTTCCTGATGTAGATCTTTTCTCACCCCTTCTTCTCTGGAGGGGTGCGGTGGGCGCCATTTTGTGGTTTACTGCAAGGGCCAAAATGTCTTGGTCCAGCCTTGCGCCTTATACTGGGTCAGATCTGTTGGCCCATGGTACAAGGGCTAAAATTCACAGAGAGGTTTAAAAAAACCAATCTCTCTTCCCAGGGAACTCTGGGAATTGTAGCTCTGTGAGGAGGAATAAGGGTCTCCAAACAACTCTCGGCACAGTTAACTACAGTTCCCACAATTCTTTGGGGGAAGCATGCACATGGGACCTATCACAGCAGAAACATCCATGGAGAAGGCTCCGTTTCAGAAACAAGTACCTACATAAACCACACACTGCAACAATAAATATTCATTTCAGTTGTCACAGGCTTCCCTGGAGTGAATATGGGCAGCCAAGTTATCTACCAGACTGTGCACAGACTCTTTTGATAAGAAGAGCTCTGCTGCATCAAATCAGACCAAGGGCCAGCATCCCATTTCCCATAGCGGCCAATCAGATGCCTTCCTACAGTGGGGGGGCTGGACTAGATGACACTTGGGGTCCCTTTCACCTGTATAATTCTATGCCTCTGGAAAGCCTAGAGTACAATAGCACTCTCCTGCTGTTGCTCCCCAAACTGACACATTCAGAGGCATGGTACTTTAATCCTGAAGGTAATATAAAGTTATCACGATATATTGTGTCATCTTAGATGTCTGGGGCTGAAATGATAGCCATTTCTGTGTAGGAGACAGTCCACACAAAAGCAAATGGTCTCATAAGCCATATCTTACCAAAGACATTCTTCACACCTTGCTCATTTATCAGGTAGTCCACATATTGGCCAATCACAGAGAGGTTGATTTCTCTGAAGAAAGGAACACAAGACAGGAAGCATGATCACCTATATCCGTAACTGAAAAGAAAAACCCAGAATGTGAAGTGCCAGGCAGGTACACATGAAAACTGAACAAGAACAACCAATCTTCCCTTGCCAGACAGGTCATAGAATCATATGATAAAAGGCATCACTCCCTGCAGGATGCTAATGCCATATTAATTTTGCTTCCATTCACAGTTTTTCTGGTGTTTTCACAAATGACACAAAAACAGAAACCAGAAAGCCAAAGAAAGGAGAGCCCAGAGCATGAAAACGTTCAACCATGTTTTGCAGGCTGCAAAAGCTGTTGTCCACTCCTTGTTCCTGTTTCCCCCCTGCCATCTCCTGATAGCTTTCCAACTCCGAATGGGAGCAGCAGGAAAACACCGTCTGTCTGACGTCACCAGGTTTTGCCAAGAGCAGAGGGCTCGGAAACTCTGTTCTGTCTAGCTGCCGGTCCAAGTGGGGCTTCTGGATACAGAGCAAGCAGCAAGCCAAACAGGGAAGCCCATCTGTTTTCCCATTTCCCACTCAGTCCCACTTGGAAGAAGCCCCAGTCCATGGCCCATGAACGTTCAGGGAAGTCCATCCTGCCTCTTTGAAAGGCATTTGCATGGCCACAGGAGCAGGAGGCAGTCCTGGGCCAAGGCATCGTTGCCACAGGGTGTCTGGCTCCAAGGTCACCTCACTTGTTTGTACCAAGGTCAGCGTTGTTAATAAGTGCCTCACCCCTTGCTGACAGAAGCAAACTAGTGATCTGTGAAGATGGGTCACATTCTTGAAAAGAGAATGGCTGGCCAACAACACTGTCTGTTTTCCTTCCTGATAAACTCTGGGTAGTCCCGTTCAGCTCTTAATCTTAAGCTTGCCGGGTTGTGCGGGGCTCCAGGAGCCGGAGAGGCAGCACAGGAATAAGCAAGATTCTGTTTTTTTAAATTTAGTTTTCTTTTGTTAAATGGGGGGGTGGGGGGGGGCTACCATTATGGTTTATTCCAATGGTGGGCCAATTTCACCCTTCTATCGTCCACTTTTTTCCTTCTTACTAGAACTACCACAGTTTTATATTTATATTTATTGCATTTAATCTAGAAGTATTTATAAACTGCTTAATATTTATAAAATCTCTAAGCAATGTACATCATAAAAAGCATATTCAGTATGATTTTTTAAATATATATAAAAAATTCATGGATACAATCAAAACCTACATCAAAGGGAGCGACTGGTCCTTCTGAAATTTAGGTGGAAGTGAGAATTGTGATTTTTCCATTGATTAAATAGGCAGGCAGTTTCCTGAATTCACCAGGCAGGGAGTGTTTGCTGACTCTGTTGAATGCCTGTCATCTCCCCTATCAGGCAAGAGATCCTAACTATACAATCTTAACAGTTAAGGTTTAACTAATCTGTGCTCAATGACTGCCCAAGCATGCATGGTTGCTTAAGAATGGATGAGAGGATCAGACCAAGGTCTACCCAGTCCAGCACTATTTGCAAGAATTCCAGCAACCAGCATGCATTGGGTTGGCCACTAGAAACTGGATAATGCAGGGAGGCAGACTGCCCACTCCTAGTCTACTCTACACTAGAATAATATATCTGCAAAGGACTGGATCCAAACACCTGCTCCAGATCAGGATCCTCCACATCTTACAAAGGAGCCCACTTGGGTGAGGAGCTAAAGAGGAACTTCAGCCATCTCCAAGGGCCTGTGTGCAACCTTTGGGATGTTGGGTTCCCTCTCCTCGGAACAGCAGGTCTCAATGCCACTTCACAAATTGCTTTAGAAACACCTCTCCATTTCAAAAGTGGCTGCCATAGATAAATGGTGACTCCTTAGGTCAGCCATCCAAGAGCCCTCAAGGTGTTTCTGAATACAAGACCCATCAGCCTTAGTCATGCCCTAGTGGAGTGGGTCTTTGAATTATGGCACCCAGGTACACAGAGCCATACAGAGTAACTTTGTAAGTTATGTATTTCACACACACCAGAGGTCCTTGCTCTGAGGAATTTAAAGAAGGGGAGGCAGCAGTATGGGAAAGGAAGAGATAACAGTCCCGGTGCAAATAAGCAGCACACTGCCTCTGAAGCAGTGCAAACAGATACCTCAAGCAAGTGAGCCAAGCTATCTGCTTAAGAGGGACAAAAACTCAGTATTTTGTAGTTGCAGAGAAGTTGTGCTCTAAAATTTGATGGCAAGACCCAATGCACTGGTTAATTATTGCCATTTTAAATCCAATTTCCCCCTTTCTGTTGCAAGACATGTGCAGATAGGCAATGAAGGATATGATAAAACGAATCATGATCTGTGCCTGTGATTTATTTAAGAGCCCATCAAACCTTACTGCCGTTGCTTTGAAGGCCAAGGAGATAGTTACCCATCCGGAGTCATTGGCGTGACAGTGGCTGCCACAACACCCTGGAGTTTCTTCTGGGCTGCCATAGAGCGGTTGGGGTGGAGTCCGAGAAAGAGAAGAGCCCTGATCGTGACAGGAAAATAAGCAGATGTTGAGTAGCCCTCTTCTCTTAATCCTTACAGAGAGAGTCCAGGACAGAGAGAACTTTCTATTGTTTTTTCAAAAACAATATGCAGTTTTGGCAAACATTCAGCAACAAGACAAATAAACAGCCACCCAACAGCACATACTGTACCTTGCCTCATGACTGCATTTTTAGTTTTTAAAAGCTCTTATTGCTTTTAATAGCTGTACAGTGGTACCTCTGGTTGTGAACAGGATCCGTTCTGGAGGCCCTTTCGCAACATGAAAAGCCCACAACCTGAAGCGCCGTATCTGCGCAGCGTGATTTGGTGCTTGTGTGCATGCATGAAGCACGATTTAGTGCTTGCGTGAATGCGCGAGCAGCGAAACCCGAAAGTAACCCTTTCCGGTACTTCCGGGTCACCGCGGGACGCAACCTGAAAAAACATAACACAAAGCAAACATAACATGAGGTATGAGTGTATTTGTTTTGCAAGCCACCCTAAAGAGCCTATGTTCTGGGAAGCCTATATGGATTTCATGATGCAGTAAGTAAATGCATATGGCATTCACTTCCACAATAATGGAAGCTGCTGGAAGAGGGAAAGGAAAGGAAAAGGCTGTTGCCCTGCTGTATGCTCTGCTTGTGGGCATCTTGGATACATCTGGTTGGTCACTGGATGAAACAGGATCCTGGCCAGAACCAGTATTCCTAATTCAGACGTTACAGAGAAATAGAACTGAGTATCATTAATGTGCCAATGACACCTTGCTCAGAATTCCCTCATGGCCACTCTCAATGGCTTCACATAGATATTAGACAGATATTCAATAGACAGGGGACAAGATGATACCACCACAGTTATAGGTGGAGCCCAGTCATGTGGTCCCAAATATCTGAAGGAGAGAGGACTCCTTCCATACGCACCTGCCTGGATACAGTGGTGCCCCGCAAGACGAATGCCTCGCAAGACGAAAAACCCGCAAGACGAAAGGGTTTTCCGTTTTTGAGTTGCTTCGCAAGACGAATTTCCCTATGGGCTTGCTTTGCAAGACGAAAACGTCTTGCGAGTCTCGCCATTTCCCCCCCCGCTTCCCCCCCTTTTCAAAGCCGCTAAGCCGTTAATAGCCTTTTAACAGCTTAGCCACTAAGCCCGCTAAGCCGCTAATAGCGCTAAATCGCTAATAGCGCTAATCCGCTTAGCTGCTAATGGGGTTGCTTCGCAAGACGAAAAAACCGCTAGACGAAGAGAATCGCGGAACGGATTCTTTTCGTCTTGCGAGTCACCACTGTATTATAATGGGTGCTATTAGCAGTGCTTGCTGCCTTCTAAGGCCTGCAGGATGAACACCCATAACATGACTTTCTTGGTGGTGGTTCCTCCCTGCCAACAAACATCTAGTGCCATCATTGTTCACTGTGGCTTGGTTCAAATACACATCTTTGCCCAGGTCTTGGGCAAGAGGGAGATAGTGCTATAAGATCTTGCTGTTACTGAGTTGCCGTAACCTTGAGGTGAAGGGTGGGCTATAAATCCAAATGACTATCTTATCTCTCTATCTAAACTGCTGACTTTCACATTTCAAAGGCAGAGTGACCATTGCTTCTTTGGGTCCCTAAGTGTTTGTGTTTTCAAAGAACTTCATGAAATCACCCTCAAGATTCAACAACTTCTTGCACAAGAAGGCACTTCTGCCACTCCCTTTCCTTCTCCTCTGCCTTTGAAAACCAAACCAAACCAAACCACAGCCCTTCAGCCTGAAAAAGAAGCGGACAAACCACTTTGTGACTTTCACTCCACCAGCCATAACTAAAGGAAGCAATAAGACGGACAGCTGCAGTTTTGCATTTTGCACACAAACTGTCTTCCTGGACTGTCTTGAACCAATATGAAACCATTGCTGTTGTTTTAAGAAAGAAACACCATTGCTTCAGGGCATTCCTCCCTCTGCAGGGCGGCATGCACTCCTTAGAAAACAGTTAAGGACTGCATTGTTACAGATGACCAGTCCCTCGGGCCATGGCATAGCAAAGCAATAACCTCGCCCTATTCATTGCCCAAGAGCCCTGAACTAGTGTCCTCCTTTGCCAACAAATCTGGCACCATGCGCAACCCAGCCACCGGCACCCCGCTCTCTCACCTGGCCCAGCCGAGGAAGTTCTGCTGCCGGCTTCTACGAATCAGGCGGCTTTGCTGCTGCTTTAAAAGAAAGAAATAAACATTACTGAGCATGCCCACAGGTTTTGAGCATGCTCAGAAGAAAGAGGTGAATTCACTGCCCTGCATTAAGCAGTTCAACGCAGCTGCCGGAGTTTGCTGGCTGAGAGTGAAAACAGGGAATTGTAAATGCAAGCTCAGCGGGGTGAAATTAAGACACACATCAGGCACAGGGACTTACCCAGTTTTCGGGGATGAGCAGCAACTTTTGGATTTCAGAGATATTGCATTATACACGCACATGCACAAAATAGGATTTTTATCCCTCCCAAATTCTAAAATCCACAGTGAATTAACAGTGAATTAACATTAACAGCACAATTCTATACAGGTTTAATCATTAGGAAGCCTCGTTTAGATTTACTTCCTGGTAAGCCAACGGTGAACTGCAGTGCTATAGTGTAAATATGTGTGTGTGTATATATGTACACACACAGTATAGTATAGTATAGTATAGTATAGTATAGTATAGTATAGTATAGTATAGTATAGTATAGTATAGTATAGTATAGTATAGTATAGTATAGTATAGGAAAGCCTTGTACAGTATAGGGAAGTTTTTAATGTTTGATATCTTACTGTGTTTTAATTTGTTGGAAGTTGCCCAGAGTGGCTGGGGCAGCCCAGTCGAATGGGCAACATATAAATAATAGGTTGTTGTTGTTGTTGTTGTTGTTGTTATATGTTTATTAAAACATAAGTGACCAAGACCTAGGAGGCAAGGGCTCAAATCCGCCCTGAGCTGTGAAGTTCACTGGGTGACTTTGTGCCAGTCCCAGTCTCTCAGCCTAACCCACCTCACAATGGGGGGGGGGGGAGAAGCACGTTTGCACCCCGAGCTCCTTCGAGGGCAGGTGGATATAAATGTAACAAATAAACAAGCGTGCATAGGAAGTGCAATAAAGGCAGATTTATTATGGCACAAGCATTTGTAGACTAGAGTGCTTAATCAGATGCAGCCATAAAATACTTTAATTTGAACAAGGTTATCCTGTTCATTTTAAAGCAAGCAAACCAAGTTAAGATATGCTTTTGGATTCCAGGCAGTTTGGCTGGGAAGAAGTCTAGAAATTAGAAGAAAGAAAAATAAACATCTCAGCCGTTTCACGAAAGACCACTTCATCTGACAACCCCCACCCCAAATAATTTCCATGATCTGCATTTATTTGATTGTTCCATCTACTTGCTTGTTTATTTGATCACTCTATCAACTTTTCTTTCCTCAAAGGGCTCAAAGTGGCTTAGGGATTTGTCTGCATGATCTCTACAGACGCAAGGAAATAAATTTTCTAATGAACAACCAAAGGGGCAAAGTTTCCTTGAGCAAACATACAAAAAAGAAAAGTAAATAAATCATTCAAAATATACATCTTAGTGCACATTCTTTAAAAAGCTAAAAGTTGAGATTTTGTTATTGTATTCTTTCTTTTTTAATTGTTATATACTATATTGGAAAGCAATAAAACTATATTATAAAAAGCTAAAAGAAAATTTTAAGGTGCAATATAATGGCCTTTTTGTTGCATTCCATGCAACAAATTCGTGACAATTACAATTTATCATGCAAAACATTGTAATTAGTCACTAATTATTTCCAAACGTGGATCAAACACTAGATGGCACTGGTTTTACAGATAAAATTTTTTAAAAGCAAAAAAGAAAACCCACATTTAAAATAAGGTTACCAGATTTTTTTCAATGAATCCGGGGACGCTTTTCAACTTCCATGGATTTTGTCAGGGGACTGATTTGTCAATCCGGGGACTGTCCCTGGGAAACGGGGACGTCTGGTAACATTAATTTAAGAGTATGGTTAGAACTGGAATAGTGGGGAAATAGCAGCTTCAGGTGGTGATTTTTGCTAGGGAAATGGTGGTGTGACAATCCTCCATAATTCACACTGCTCACTCTCTTGGGTCGGGTGAAGTAATAATAATAATAATAATAATAATAATAATAATTATTATTTATTATTTATACCCCACCCATCTGGCTGAGTTTCCCCAGCCACTCTGGGCGGCTTCCAATCAAGTATTAAAAACTACAGTGGTACCTCAGGTTAAGTACTTAATTCGTTCTGGAGGTCCGTTCTTAACCTGAAGCACCACTTTAGCTAATGGGGCCTCCTGCTACCACTGCGCTGCCGGAGCACGATTTCTGTTCTCATCCGAAGCAAAGTTCTTAACCCGAGGTAATATTTCTGGGTTAGCGGAGTCTGTAACCTGAAGCTTATGTAACCCGAGGTACCACTGTACAGCAAGTCCCATTAGATGCTAGGAAGTGGGTTTGGGACTGCAACCCTTAAGCAGCAAAAGCCTCTCCATTTGGTGTGACTGTAAAACGGCTTCTGTGCTTGAATTACCTATTATTATTATTATTTATTAGCATTAATTAAATTTCTATGAGCACTTTCCTTTTTGCAGGCTGAGCCAATCTCGTCTTTTTCTCATTCATTTTAAAACAAAACCTATTAATGCAACCAGGCTTTAATGGAGGGGGGTTGTACTATTTTATTTGTGCATTCATGCTTTAGCTCAAAAGCTAGATTTAATTTGAATTTAAAAAGAAAACAGAATAAAATTGGATGGGGATGGGGAGGACCATGCTGCAGGATTATAGTCAGGGCTGGCCCAAGATATATTGAGGTGAAGGACAACAGTGCTATTTTTCTAGAAAAAGAAGTGCCAGAAGTCACAATGCAGGCAAAGTGAGGCAGAAAGGGAGACTCATCAACAACTCCCTCATGGACCACTCATTCTGGTGATTCTCCTCTGCATTTTGCTCATCTACAATTGCATTTCAAAATATGCCACAAACCATGTGTTGAGAAAAGATGGGAAGATGAGCTAGAAAACCAGACTGGAATGGGAGGGTCTCAGTGACATTGGCATCTGATGGAAGCACAGGAAGTGGCTAGTATGGCAGCTGCCACAATGTCTGTGTTAGGGCACAACGACTCCTTGATTCCCTACTTTCAGAACGTAAGCTGCCATGAAACAGCAGTCTTTCTACACAATGCTGTGAGGCTGTGCATATCAATGCCTGCCAGAGGGCTGAGACCGAGGGCTTTAAGCCTGTGTGTGGTTCCACTTAATATTTCCAAGGATATATATTTTCTTTAATTGCATTGTTGGGATTTAGAAACTCTGGGGAGCTGCAATGTTTGTCAGTGATTGGGTCGTGTTTATGATTCTTGTGTTCATTCAAAGAGCCCTAAACAACTTGGGTCCAGGAGCCAGAATTGGGATTCAAGATGACCTTAACTGAGCCCAAACTAACAAAATGAATTTCAATAGGGACAAATGTAAGGTTTTGCATTTAGGCAGGAAGAACCAGCTTACAAATATAAGATCAGCACCCAGCTTGCCAGCAGCACATGTGAAAAGGATCTAGGGGTCTTAGTAGACTACAAGTTTAACATGAGTCAACAGTGTGATGCAGCAACAAAAAAAGCCAGTTGTATTCTAGGCTGCATCAACAGACGTGTAGTGTCCAGATCAAGGGAAGTAATAATACCACTCTATTCTGCCTTGGAATCCTGTGTCCAGTTCTGGATGCCACAATTTAAGAAGAATATTCACAAGCTGGAACATGTGCAGAGGAGGGTGACCAAGATTCCCAAGGGTCTGGAAACCAAGCCTGATGAGCAACAGTTGAGGGTTTGCAGTATGTTTAGCCTGGAAAAGAGGAGATAGAAATGAGATATGAAAACCACCTTCAAATTATCCTTTTGCATTTCTTAGTGCAGAAAGTATTGATCTGATGTGTAGAGATCTTTCCTAGTCTGATTAATTCAAGATGGTTCTGGAAGCTTCTCTGTATGAAAGAAACAAGCAGAAGGCTCATGATGTTTGGGTTATTCCTTCAGAGAAGCTGAGTACAGCTGGGTTAAACTGGTTCTGTTATCTCTTCTGTCAAGGTCATGCTGACTATTGAAGTAAGGCCAGAAGGGGCCAGGGTTTCACTTTGTCTTTCTATCACTCTTCCTTCTGGTGTGATGTTCTGTACATAGTACAGTGGTGCCTCGCAAGATGAAAATAATCCGTTCCGCGAGTCTCTTCGTCTAGCGGTTTTTTCGTCTTGCGAAGCAACCCTATTAGCGGCTTAGCGGATTAGCGCTATTAGCGGCTTAGCGGCTATTAAAGGCTTAGCGGCTAAAAGGCTATTAGCGGCTTAGCGGCTATTAAAGGCTTAGCGGCTTAGCGGCTAAAAGGCTATTAGTGGCTTAGCGGCTTAGCGGCTAAAAGGCTATTAGCGGCTTAGAAAAAGGGAGGGGAGCGAAAAAAATCGCAAGACTCGCAAGACGTTTTCGTCTTGCGAAGCAAGCCCATAGGGAAAATCGTCTTGCGAAGCGCATCAAAAAACGGAAAACCCTTTCGTCTAGCGGGTTTTTCGTCTTGCGAGGCATTCGTCTTGCGGGGCACCACTGTATATATAGTGTTAAGCTTTAGACTTATTATAAGTTATTGTAAGTTTAAGTTAAGTCTGCTGCAATTGGATTTCTTATGGACAGTGCCAATCCTGAATGTATTAAATTTGTGACCATTATGCTCATTTGCCTTCAGTAGCAGTAAAGTTCTGCCAGATGAAATAAAATTGCCTCTGGTCTATTTTTTTGGGAATCCTGCAATGTGTTTACATTTTTACTCTGCTAACTATACACTGGAATCTGCTCTGGATCAATACTGAGTAGAATTTCACGACAGGTTATGGGCCCATAATGCCCCCCCCATAGGTTCCTGAGGCTGAGCAGAGTGTTGAGGAGGTCCGGCTGTGCGGTGCCAGAGTGTTTGCTGTGAATGAGCAAAGGAGTAGCTGTGCTGAAATGCCGGAGGAGGACAAGGAGGACCCGGAGAGTCTCCATGCCCGGGCAGAGGTTTTGAAGCGGCTGGAGTGGATGCCGGTTGTGGTGATTTATGAGCCAGGTGGCTGTTGTGGAACAGCCTTGCAGCGCCAAGAAGCTGGAAGAGACTTGATTCCAGAGATGGCTGGTAGCGCTTGGTGCAGATGCAGCACTGGGAGGTATGGAGAGCCCAGAGGGGCCAGGAGCTGGCAGTGGTTTTACTGGCATGAAGCCATTCTGTTTCAGCAGACCTACTT